AAGGATTTTCCACTAGGAAGACTCACTTTACCACAATTTTAGAAGTTTTATTAAAAAAAAAATTGTCGATAATAATAAATTTACAAATTTAATGTATATTATTCAAAAGTAAAGAAGTACAATTACTCCATTAATTCTCTCAACATGGGCTCAGTCAATTTGACTGACCACATGACCTCTTTGCACCCGTTTAAAGTCTGTATTGATTTGATACTACTAACTTTTGAGATAGTGTGTTTCTAGTGATTTAGTTTTATGGATCTTATTCAATACAACTTCTTATATCCATGTTTTTGAAACCTCCTTAGATCCAGACTCTCCTAAATAGGAATTGTCCTTGGATTTAGTTTTATGGATCTTATTCAATACAACTTCTTATATTCATGTTTTTGAAACCTCCTTAGGTTCAGACTCTCCTACATAGGAATTGTCCTTGGATTTAGTTTTATGGATCTTATTAATACAACTTCTTATATCCATGTTTTTGAAACCTCCTTAGGTCCAGACTCTCCTAAATAGGAATTGTCTTGTTTTATTTAAATCACAACTAGAGTTACTTTGGTGAACAGTTTTATTGCCATTGTACATCACATGGTTGGTTCTATCCTACATTCATCATCTTGGGCCTTGGCCTTGCAGCCTCCTGCTTCTGTAACTTCTGCTGAGACTACCTTGTCCTTGTACAACTTGACCAGCTCTTCCCACAACCTGCCTTTATTTCTGGTTCTTCTATCCCTGACAAGGATCAGTTATCACCCACTCATGTCCTTTGCTGCTCTGGTAACTCAGGTATACAACATCAGTTCTCTTATTCCAAGTGTTTCTGCTGGTTTTTTGATGAGCTTCTTCTATGGACCTCAACTCTAAGATTTTTTTTCTACCCTCATTTTCCCTCACCTGACTGTTGTATTACTGCAGATCCTTTTTGTCTAGTTGCCAAATGTCTATATAATGGTGTAAATGCAGACCCAAAAAATGCATTCTTTGTGAAAACCCTCAAGACTTTATTCAAATCAAACAGGTGAAAGCCATGAAAGACAAAGAAAGCTCTTGAGAGAAAATCTGTGTAAACCAAGGGCTTTCTGCTAAGTGAGTCCACACATGGAAAAATTGTTACAGCTAAGCTCTTACACATCCAAAGCTGAGAAACAACTTATCTCGAAGTTCCATGAAGGCTGATCTCTTGGTATAAAAGACACCATGAAGGGGCCACAGTATGTGGAAATCCCAAAAAGAATTTCTGCATGAAGGAAAAGTGCCAAATGAAATTCCTCGAATTAAAACTGACAAACTTTTATTTCTCCAAAAAACAAATCATCATTATGAAGGAAGTCCCAGAAACAAAGAAAGCAAATACAATGGGCAACATCTGAAGAAGAAAATAGGGCAGTATGAAGAACAGGTTGGTGCAACTTTCTCCAGGAAAGCTGTTTGGGTTGTGATGCAGAGCCTGAGAAGAAAAGGGTAAAAAGAACATCAACTTAAGAATGTGAGTAAGCAAAATAGAAAGACTGAGAATGTAAGAGAGTCATAGTAGAAGAAGAAGAAAATCTCCAAGCAGGGAGAAAAAATTCAAGGGATAAGAGTACTAGAAAAACAGAAGAAGAATTCCAACCACAGACCTCAGTAAAGCTGTCTTAAGTTCAGAGAGGTTGTGTCAACTACGAGTCAAGTCTCCCACAACATGGCCAGGAACCAACCAACCCAAACAAGAAGAGAGATTATAGCAGATGATACACTGTCACACCTCAAGATTCTCTATTCACATCTAAAATGGTGAAGGTATGCAGAACAGCACCACAATCAGCTAGAAAGGTATCCATGAACAGGCGTAAGTACGGGTGGGGTGGGGGAAGATAGTTGCTCAGAGTTATATAGAAACTTGTCCCACCATAACAGATGGAGGTAGAGAAATGGAAGAAGAGAGTGGAGATAGGGTATATTCAACTGATCTTCCAAAATCCACTGAAGGGGACACAAGAGAACACATACAGAGGAATAAAGGTTATGAAGAAGGCCCAAAAGGAGACATAAGAGCCATGGAAAATAGAAGCTTCATGTCTTGGAAATGTAAAGAAGAAGGTTGAGACTACCCAGCAAACAAGATGATAAAGACTTTCAAATGAATCAGATACTGAATGGTAGTTAGTACTGAATTAGGAGGCTGACACCTCAACAAAATTCTCTACTCACATCTAATATTACATCACTGGTACACCTCAACAATATTCCCTACTCATGTTTAATATTACATCACTGTCACACCTCAACACAACAGTGATGTAATATTAGATGTGAGTAGAGAATCTTGAGGTGTACAGTGATGTAATATTAGATGTGAGTAGAGAATCTTGAGGTGTGACAGTGATGTAATATTAAACATGAGTAGGGAATATTGTTGAGATGTGACAGTGATGTAATATTAGATGTGAGTAGGGAATCTTGTTGAGATGTGACAATGATGTAATATTAGACTTGAGTAGGGAATATTGAGGTGTGACAGTGATGTAATATTAGACTTGAGTAGGGAATCTTGTTGAGATGTGACAGTGATGTAATATTAAACATGAGTAGGGAATATTATTGAGGTGCGACAGTGATGTAATATTAAACATGAGTAGGGAATCTTGTTGAGGTGTGACAGTGATGTACTATTAGATGTACACGAAGAGAAAATAATAGTATTTACATTCTAAAATCTTTTTCCTATCTGTTATGTTAATATTCTATGGAAAAGTGTGAAAGACCTCTCCTTGTGTATTAAGTTTTACAGAAACTTTTAGCATTTTTGTTGTTTTTTCTATATTATAGGTGAACCAATAGCTGATGCTTTTGGAGTGTGCTTGAGAAAAAACAGTGCTATTCTGGTGTTAGCTGATGGTGTGAACTGGGGAGAGAAGTCTTGTCTGGCAGCAAGGTGTGCAGTACATGGTTGTATGAGTTACCTTAACAGTGATCTTTATCATGAAGGAAGGGTGATGGAAACAACCTCGGTATGAACTTAACCTGTCATTATTAATGTGATATTTTCATTCTATAATCAAACTGGTATATCTGAGTGTGCTAGTGTTGAAAATATATAAAAGTGTTTGATGTTGCAGAAAATAAATAAAAAACCTAATAATTTTGTATGGCAATTCATGTTCTGGCATTATTTTATATTGTTTTTTTTTCTTGGATATGCTGTGTATTTACACTATATACTTGAATAAGAATGTGCTAAGTTATGCACAAGGACCCATAGAAAACTAAATTGGATTTTAACTGTTATTTTTTGCTTGTGTTATAAAAAAAAGATTATTTTCCATACTTTACTCAATGTAGGACATCTTCATTTCTCTGTTGAGGTCATTTCATGCAGCACACAACCTGATTCTCCAGGAAGACGGCATGCTAACGACTCTTTGTGCTGCTGTCCTTTGTCAGATGAAAGATTCCAACAAGTTCATTGTTTGTACATGTAACGTAGGAGACAGCCTTGCATACGTGTACAGCAGGAAATGTGGAGTACGAGAAATCACGCAAGGTGGGAAGATCAGAGAATCCATTGAAGGAAACCATTATTTCATCTTTGTTAACCTTTTTTTGCTGATTAGTTTAAACCAACTTATCTCTTGTAAACAAATTCTTGGACTACTGTACAAACACACTAATTATGGCATCACAATGTAGGGTTTGAGACATCATTGTAGAGTACAAAATCCAGGTTTCATTTCTTCTGGAAGTAGTCTAGACAGTTTGCTTGGGAATTTGGTATTTGTACTTTAGGTTCTTTTACTCCATCAAACTACAGTACTTTTGGCAATTGAAGTATGAAATTTTCCCTGAAAAGTAGTATTTTGTTTCTGTTAATAGTATTGATGTGTTCATAATGAATGTTTTTTTCTCATGAATTTATTTTAACAATATATTAAATATTCAACACAACCAAAAAACTCTGTGTAAATATGTATTGAACACAACCAAATACTCTGTGTAAATATGTATTGAACAAAACAAATAATACAACAAAATAATACAAAAATAGGAAAGCTTCTAACCTGAATTGTATGGAAAGGTAGATCTCTCTTCATCAGGGCCAAACTAAGTTAAGTGTGAGAATAGGTTGAGTGATATTGTGAATATGCAAGTGTTCTGGGTAGCTTTCAAAGAAATATCTAATTTCTTTTGTACAGTATGAGAGAAATAAATCCAGAAAGATAATGTGAGGTGCAAAAAGGTTATAAAGGTTTTGTTTTAAAAAACTTTACTCAACCCATTCACTGCAGCTGGGACGAATATATATATCAGTGCTCTCATCCCCTCACACTGCAAGTGGGACAAATGTTTCCTATTATCGATGCTGTTTATGCCTTTCTCTGGTGGGTCCAGGTTCATCCTCTTGACTATCATCACTAGATGGATAGCTAACATCCTCTTGTCTCCTTGCCTCTTCATCATCACACATTTGAACTCCACTTGACTCACTTTCACTGTCTTCTAAGCTATCTGAATCAAGTGCATCAAGCATATTTACATAGTAATTAGGGTTACTACTTGCTGCTCTAGCGATGCATGCACAGTCAGCATGCAGTTTCTGAATCAAGTGCATCAAGCATACTTACATAGTAATTAGGGTTACTACTTGCTGCTCTAGCGATGCGTGCACAGTCAGCATGCAGTTTCTGAATCAAGTGCATCAAGCATATTTACATAGTAATTAGGGTTACTACTTGCTGCTCTAGCGATGCGTGCACAGTCAGCATGCAGTTTCTGAATCAAGCATATTTACATAGTAATTAGGGTTACTACTTACTGCTCTAGTGATGCAATTTTGATACGTCACATAACTCTTTCTTTAAGAATACACTTAAACACAAAAAGTTCAACCACCAACATCACTATTACTAAACATTCAGAGAAGCTACCTAAAAGTTGTGTCACTTATCAGTTGTGTCACTTATTAGTTATTTACATCAGAAGTTATACATGGAAACTTGGTAGTTGCATCACTTATCAGCTACTTATATTAAGTGTTATACATGGAAACTTAGCAATTGTGTCACTTATCAGTTATTTACATTAGATGTTATACAAAGGAACTTAGCAGTTGCATCACTTATCAGCTATTTACATTAGGTGTTACACAAGGGAACTCAGCAGTTGAGTAACTGATCACCTACTTACATTAAGTGTTATACAAGGGAACTTAGCAGTTGAGTCACTTATCAGCTACTTACATTAGGTGTTATACATGGAAACTTAGCAGTTGCATCACTTATCAGTTATTTACATTAGGTGTTATACATGTAAACTTAGCAGTTGTGTCATTATCAGTTATTTACATTCAGAAACTGCATGATGACTGTGCATGCATCGCTAGAGCAGCAAGTAGTAACCCTAATTACTATGTAAATATGCTTGATGCACTTGATTCAGAAACTGCATGGTGACTGTGCACAACTATTTCAGAACGTTCACTAGTTTGCTACACTATTCAAAGTAAGAGATGTTATACCTAAGAAATTAAACCACGTTTAATACCGAAATGTTGATTTTTAGGATCTCATGACATTTATTCCATGCGTGACATGAGGGATGCTCTTGGAGCTCTGGGTCCCGTGGATGGACAAAACCCCGAACTCAGTAACTTGACTGTTGCCATGACAACAGTTGAGCCAGGTGATATAGTGTTTTTAACAAGTGATGGAATCTCCGACAACTTTGACCCTGTTGTGGGGAAATTTGCTCTTCCTAAAACAACAGAAAGAATTGCTCCTATGGACGGTGCTTCAGAAGACATCCAGAAGCAGGGCCTGCTTCACAGATCAAATAGTAATGGAAATGAGAAACACATCTCCTCGTCAGAGTTTGCTTTGCCAGTGGTTGAGGCTCACCAGCGCCACGAGCTTACTCTGCTTCGTATGGAGGACCTCCTCACTAATGGAGTGAACGAAGGTGACCGACCTTGTGAAACTGCACGCCAGCTCTGTGAACAGATGCTCGATTTTGCCACCAAGTTGACGGTAGCTAAGAGAAGGATTCTGGAGGATCCTGAACTTTACAAGGACAGTGCCGATGCCTTGAATCAACTGGAACAACGAAGACGTCGGAGAAAAGTTGGAGATAAGTTAGCCATGGTTCCTGGAAAGCTTGACCATGCTACAGTGGTTGCTTGTAAAGTTGGAATCCAGCCATCAGAGCATTCTCAAGTCACCACAGATCTCAAACATTATGAAAGTAGAGTATAGACACTTCAGTAATTTATGTATTGATTCCAGTGCGTACAGTTGTGTCTTTAGGTTACTGCATTCAAACTTAGGGCCAGAACAAGAAACATTAGTAATAAATTATCAAAACGTAGACTTTTGTCCAGCATGCCTTCATGTTTGGTCACTTCTGATTTTTCAAAGCTGTATATTAGTATTTTAATGTTAGGGTGATTTAATTATTTATCAGTTTTTTCTACATCTTGTATCTATGCACTTGTGTTTTTATATATTTTTTCTAGAATCCTTCAGGGTAAATATAACTTATAATACAACTTGTGTCTGTTACCAAACTCAGTCTTGTCTGTAGCGGAGTGTGTTAAACACATAATTCTTCCAGTGAGAAACGTAAGCACCTATCAACATACATGTAATAACTAAACAACTGTTTCAGATATCTAAACATTATTTACCCTAGTGTGAATTAGCAGAATAACAGTTACATATTTGTTGTAATATTAATCCTCTTACTAAGAGTAACTTTTTTTAAACTTATTTTTTGTGTTTTCTTTGTAAAATTGAATGAAAAGTAGAGTATGTAGAAAAGGCAGTTAACTAGTGTGAAAAATAGGTTTTTTAGTTATATCACCGTTTCTTCAATCTTCTGAGTTACTTGATAAAAGCACATTGTTCAGGGTTTTTAGTTGTATCACAGTGTCTTCAAACTTCTGAGTTACTTGATAAAAGCACTTTGTTCAGGGTTTTTAGTTGTATCACCGTTTCTTCAA